AAAAAAAAAAAAAAAAAAAAAAAAAAAAAAAAAAAGCAGAAGGGGGAAAAATAAAGGAAAAATAATAAAACCCCTAATGTTACAATCCATTTATAATATTACATTAGTTTTCTTGGGTTTGGCTTGCTGGTAAAATATTCAGGAGAACACAAAAATATTTTAAAAACACAATAATATCTCCTGTCATGTAAAACCCCTGTCCTTTCTTCAAGGGCTTGGCAAGAAGGCTCAGCTTTCTACCTAAATTGTATTTTTCTAATTAAAAGACAGAATCCCTGAAAAGTTAAGCTGTCACTAGTTAATGCTGTCAAAATACCGTATCTCAGGTGTTCATGTTTGTTTAATTAGACTTCACTTTTTCTTCCTTCTCATTTTGAATGGTATTTGTTTATTTGCTGTTCTCCAGGCTCTCTTTTCACAGTCCCTTGAAAACAAAACATAAAATCAATGATGCTGAAGTTTATGTAGGCTTAATATTAGACAAAAGACAAAAATGCCTAGTCCCGCTGTCAATAGGATGCATTTGGGTAGTTTTCCATGTAGCACTTCAAAGTAGGGTAACTGACATCAATCTCATTCTGAGAAGAGGAAGAGCCATATGGCTCCATTTTATAGTCATCTGGTTTTATAACAGCTCAGAACAAAACATTCATGATACTTAAACAGATACCAGTTTCCATGTAGATAGGCAAAGTAGCCATGCACAGTGCCATGCATTTCCAGTCTTTTCCATATACTGCCCTGTTAGGAAGGCATGCCAAGGACTGCAGTTTATCAAGAAAGAGGGTTTTCATGGTTTGCATGGTTACTTGAGTCAAGACTATGGTAATTAGTTCACTCCCATAGTCTTTAGTGCCTCCAATGAGAATGCCTACGAAAGCATCCCCAGGCAGAACAGGACAGTCTATGGTGATATGCCATACTGCTATTTCAAATATGTAAACACTGGAAAAGGTTGTAAATTCACATTTTGGCCACTATAGATGCGTGCATGTGCTTGGCTACCCACATGTGCATCTATATGCAGATCTCTGAAAGGATCTTAACTTGCTTTGGCTTTGCTCCTTCCTTTTCCTGAGCTATCTATATGAATTGAAAGTGAGAAAATAGTTAATACAGTATCTAGTTTAATTGTAAACCCTTCCTGATTGATGACTTCCCTGATCCCAGGACCCAGCAATATGGCAAAAGCAATTACTATAACCTGCAGCTAAAACTACTTCTCAGAATTCTGCTTCTTTTCTAGGGAAATGTGTTTTTCATTAACACTAACATTCAGACTCAGGAAAAAATGTATCTAAGGAAGTGTGTTATATACAGAATTTTAGGCTAGTGCGCTTCTTGATGATACTATCTTTCCCTACAGAGAATCATGTAAATTTTTACCTGTGATGTTCATCTCTTAATACTTGTGAGTGTGATACACACCACTTAAAAGAAATTCACTGCCCAGACTAGGAGGTTTCCTCTGTTACATCAATATATTTTTGCTGTTGTATCTTTTGGTTTAATAAGTGCTAATACAAAGATTCTTAACTACTGCTTTTAAAATGCTTACTGATCTACAGAGACAGAAAAAGTAAACAGTTAACAAATTGCTCTGATAGATAGTGCAGTCTCTTAGGAGGTGTTCATAACATTGACATCAGTGTTGAGTTATTCTCTCTCAGGAGCACCATTAACAGTCATTTTATCACCACCAAGTGTATATATAATTCTGTAACATCAGTCCCAGTGCTGGGCAGTTCTCCTGGTTAGAGGTCAACTATAGGCATAACCACTTCATTGTAGAAAGGAAAGTGGAAACCAGCCTAAAGTGTTAAACTTCCAGTTTAAAGTCCCATTAATATACACATTTATAGACAGCAAAACAAAACTGTGAACACAAGTGAGCAGGGTATTGACTTTTTTAAAGATGTAGACAAACGGACAGCTTGTGTCTTATTTTTTGTTTTGATTAATAGTTTCAGTTTTTGTGTGTTTTAATCCTTAGTTAACCAGAAAAAAATAATAATTTGGAGAAGGACACAGTGTCACTATAGATAATAAATTGTATATGAACTATGAGTAGGATGCTATTTCAAGACAAATATAATCCTTGTAAGAGTAAATAAGTAAATAATATCCAGAAATTGGCACAGAGCTATTTGTTCACAACATCTGTGAAATTTTTACTGGAAAGCCATGTACCATTATGGTTTGTTGAAAAGGATGTTGAAAATCAAAAAGATGTACAGAAAAGAGCTCTGAAATGAACAAAATTTAGGGGAAATGTGCCAACAATGAAACACAAAAGAAACTCTATCTAATAATTGAATCAAGAGAAGACTGAGAAGTAGCTTGACTACAGCCTCCAGGTACCTACAGACAAAAAGGATTTCTGACAATTAAGCACTCTCTAATTTAGGAGTAAGGAATGTATAATTAGCTGGAGCCAAGAATTCCATTCTGTCCCCCCTCCACCAAATCAGTGGGAGCTTTTAACTATTGGAGCAATCTGTGTCCTTCTGAAAAGTATGCTACATCTCAGAGAGAAGCTACAGAGACTGATAGAGAAAATTTTGGGACCACGCAGGAGGTTAGACTAGACAGTAATATACAGTTTATTCTGCCCTTAATATCTGTTTCTGAATTCTGTAAATCAACAAAGATGAATAAGTTTAACAGAATGTAGCCCTCAGTCATATATATTTCATCATTTAATTACATATCCATTTGAGGATCATAATACAGTTCTCTTATGACTTAATCTGTGAAAATTTTCTACAGATGCCAGAAATTGAGTCTTTCTTATTCAAATAATAAAACTCTGAACTAAATAGATCTTCAGCTTGAGACTCCTAATTATCATGAGAAAAATTTAAATAACATTTTAGCTTCTTTGTTATCAGTGAACACAATAATATACCACAAAAAGTGTTAATATCTGTTATAGCCCTTGAGTGATACAAATGTGTCATTTTATTTTGATCATGCTTGATATGCTATGTCTTGACTAGGTCTTATTCCATTCTGTTTCTACAGGTTAGTGAGACTTTAATCAAGAAAAAAAAATCTAATGAACAGCAATTTGAAACACAACATTTGGAAAGGTCAGAATGGTACATTACACCCTTATTATCCAAAAGAACAGATGAGTTTAATATCCTGGCAGCATTTTTCTGTGAAGATACTAAACAAGAACTGAAAATGGCACAAGGTTCCTTCTTCCTTTCTTATGAGAAAGATTGTAACAAGATGATGAAGCTATATAGAATAAATCCCCTTCTTTAATGTTCAGGTTTTGGATCCTGTAGATTTCAAAAAGCTAAGCTAGCCAAAGAGCCAACACACATGCTATTTGTTTCAGGTCCTTTATAACACATTTTCCTGCTTAAATGACCCAGTTTCCATTAATATTTTTTAGTCTTAATGATGGGAAGACATGTTAACAGAAAGCACACAGTGCAATGAGTTTTGTCAAATGTTGACTGTGTTGAACTGCAACAACTAATGTAGTGCATCAGTGCTGCTTAAAATGTAGATTTTTCAGCTTCTGTTTGAATAGCTCTAAGAACAGAGATAATGTATTCCAACACACAACACATTGCATGTGTCCTGCTTTGGAGAGACCCTGAAGGTATGGAACTTTTTGAAGGCAAAGGAATGTGTAGTATATCCTGTAGGTTGTTAACAGTATGATTAATATAAGGAATTGTCACAATTTGCTTCTTTAAATCATTATCTGCATGAAGACTCTTCCTCTTACTTTATAGGTCTAAGGAGAGAAAACAAACACCTGGAAATTGATGTTGTATTTTAACACTAAAATACACCATCAAGGGTCCTCATGTTAAATCTCATTATGAAAAGTGAACAAATGCTATGCTTAAAAATCAAACAATTATTATATGTTGTGCACCTGTATTAGTTTCTTGTATATGAGATACAAGAAGTCTGCTTTTACAAAAGGATGTAACGTTATATATTAAAGAGATTCATAATTATTAAAGTATTTTATATTATTCCAAAAGATATGTCTTGAAGTATTGCTAGCTGAAGTTGACCTACACAGTTTTGCACAAGCTCACAAGTAGAAATCATGTCAAACCTCTTTCTTCCATCCCATCCAGGGAACACATTTGAAAAAAAAAATCTCCATGGTACATTACATGCAGCATCTTGCTGAGAAAAGCCATTCTGCTTTAGTCAAGAGAGAGAAAACGAACACGTCCAAAATATTTTTCCAGTGTCTTGAGTGAATATAAATATATATATGTGTGCGTGTGTGTGTGTATATATATATATATACATACACTTGTTTTTTCTTTTCTGTAGGTGATTTTATTTTCCACTGGAGATTGTAAATGTTTTTTTTTTCATCCTTTCTTTTGCAACTATAAAGTTGGATAGCTTTTTAAATGCATTGACAATGTGCAACCTATTCTGAAACTTAAAAGGTTTTGCAGAACTACAGACAAAAATCCTTAATGAATGTTCATCTCATAAATGCCTACAGAAATTGTTATCCATGCATCTAAAAAAAAAAAAATCCACTAGATACAAGTTTCTATCAAGTTGCTTGTGGTTTAGCTAATAGTCCTTGAAACTGAAATGACTACAAATAGCTCTTCACTTTTTCCCAACCAGATGTATCAGCAATTGAGTATTCAGCCTACAGAAAATAATAAACAAAACTATTTTCAGTTCCTAATTATTATTCACAATAGAAATCCATGAATTTTTATAAATTGAATTGCTAAGAATTCTGTTACTATGAAAAAAAAATGATGTTGTATCAATTTTTTAAAATATCATGGTTAGGGAACGGCTGAGTAGAGAATTGGGGTTATTGAGGGGTAGACTCTACATGTAGTCACACAAACAAGTCCAGGATTTCTCGGAGAGTGAGTCCAATATATCAGATGAAGACAGTGGGGTTTGTTACACTCTTTTCAGTTTGCTCATGATTATGCAAAAGGCTGCTACTGTGTCACACACTATTTAACATGGGGAACACCTTGAACACATTATGCAGCCTTATTTAGCTATTTCATAAAATGGCTTTTTTTCCACTAGGCGATCACAGGCATTCTTTTTTGAAAAATTACCAAAATAAGCAAGTACATCTTATGAACCAATGCACCGGTTTGAAGTTAAACTTTAAGAGTCAACTCCTTTCATCTTTGAGAAATCATGTGGTGGTTGGGCATTTCCATGAAGTCTTTCTTTAATGAGGAAGGTGAAGAGTAAAAGTTGAACGTAAAATGTTGGACCTGTGAACCCATGAGAACTTCTCAAAGAAAAAGGTCATGTAATCCTCTGTGAATTATATTCATTAAATTAACAGAAGATGAAAAAAAGGATGTGGTTGATGGGAAAGGTGTCATACTGAAGCTAGATCACAAAAGAAAGACATCAAAACACAGCAGACCACATGCAACATACACATTTCCACACATGATTTTGCACCAGGAGGTGCTGGGGTTTTTGTAATCCCAGAAAGAAGGACACTCAGACACTGTGAAATATTGCTTAAAATACCATCTACTGCAACTAAAATTATAAATAGAGGTTAGCACATATAATCTTACAGCCCTTCAGATGCCGGGAATCTGGAGTTATGCACCATCAAATGGGCCTCCAAGCAGGGCACAGCATCTTGTGCAGATCCTGTCCATGTAAAGGTTACCCAATATTTCAGTCTTCTGAGCTCCTGTAAGATTTTCCTAAAAGAAAATAACTCCATTTATCATTTTTACTGTCAAACAAGACAGATATGCAAGTGAGAATTTGTTACTACTGGTTTAGAGAAAGGCAAGGACCCGCAGGTGGTACTATCTGTGGCAGCTACCCACAGGCTGCTTCATTACAGTTAGCCAGCTAAGTTTATCCTGTGACCAGAGGGTGTGCACAGAGTACAAGAAAGACCTGAACGTCATGTGTGAGCAGCACAGTGGAGGCCTGTGCCTGTTTGGGGTAATTGCTGTGCGAGTGACTAAGTCCTCCGTGTACAATGGTCTTCTGGTCAGATCTCTGCACATGTATACCTACCTACCTATTTTACATCTGCGTATAAAAAGCTCCTTTTGTGCTCCAAAGTGAACTGATGCATTGTATTCAACTCTGCACACATTAAACACCTGTACATGTCTGTTGCAAACACTCCTTTGTACAGGTCTTTGTGTCCATCAAGCTGGAATTGTGCAGGAAGTCAGATAGGTTTATAATTATGCAATTTATACCTCCAAATGCTGTTAAAAGGCTATGTAAGTACATTTTTTTGCAAGTGTGCTTTTTGTGCCTGCAGCTCAAAATCTGGTTATACTTGCATATGAATTTGTTTTGTTCTGTCACACAATGTTACTTGATATTATATGAATAAATAATCCATGAGCTAGAAAACACTCTAAAATCAAAGGAACAAAGTCAGTTGCATTATTAAAGAGAGATTAAAGTAATTTGACATGAAAGGCAGTTTAGAGATAATACAGCCTGTCTGATTTACTGATGTGCACAGAAGCTAATACATCATTCAGCCCTGCTACCACCTGACAGCTGTTCAACATCTAATGGGAAATGTGATAGTGGTCACAGTCCAGTTCATAGTGGACAGGTGTCGACATCATGAAAATCATCATCAGAACTGGCAGTAATTGGCACCTTTGTTGACAGTCTCAGCAGACAGGCCAGTGATTGAATCAGCATGGAGGCTGCTTTGCAAGCTCTGCTGTGTGAGACACTGGGCTGAGCAATTCCTTCACTTAATTTTGCACATATTTCAAAGGAACACAGTCAAGTCCTGGCACTTTACTTGCCTGTAAATTCTATGAGCTTGTGGCATAGCTCTGGAAGTGATGCCTCTGTACAGAGGGTTAGACACATCTCAGGGACACTGAAGCCTGCCCACTGATGCTGGCCAACAGAAGACCTTGTGGACTTAGGCTTGGGATGGAAGAAGACCAAAGGGGATGAAACCAAAGGCTGATGTAAAGGAGAAGCCACACATGACCCACATGGGGCTCCAGTCTCATCCAAGCTTTTCACAATTTTAGTTTATCTTAGATGCAATTGTGATTCTGTGGACTTCCAGTAGCCACTTTACTCCTTTGTGCCTCAGTTTATTCTTTTGTATGAAGGTCATAATATTTGTCTCAATCTCAGACATAATATGAGGCTTTGTTAACCAGTACCTTAAGGTACTTAATCACCTCTGATGGAAGTCAATAGACACATTAAAACTCGGGCTTCAAATGTTCAGGAACTTTGGGTTCTTAATAATCCTGTTAAATGAGTTGTAGGCAATGACTATTGAATGTATCTATTTTGCATTTACCCATCTTTCCATTCACTCTGTTGAATATTAAATACAGTTTCTACTTCAACTCAGCCTGCTTTGTCCAAATCAGCAATTAAAACTAATTTTCCTTCGGTGTACAGAAACCTATATTGTTTGTGGGTTAATTATCACATTTACCTTTTTTTTTTAGCTCTATAGAGAAATGTAATATAGGTCAGTAATGTGAATGTAAGATTTCAGAATGTTTTGATGGTGATAAAAGGAAGTAAAAAATGGGTGATGTTTGATTGCAATTAGCAGTAGTAACTGAAGTATAGAGAGGTCATTAAGGCTCATTAGTACCTTTTTCCAAAGTAAAGAAAGAAGGGCAGAAAGAAGGACAAAAAGCAAAAGAAGTAAAGAAAAAGTAGGGATGTTGGGGAAAAAGGAAAGAAATAAAAGTTCCATTTTCATGTATCTGAAAAAAATGTTGTATTTGTTGCACGTGGCTTTGTCAGTATATAGATAAAAGCGAGAAAACCAAACTGGAAAACTGACACACAAAGTCAGGTAAAACATATCATAAAGGACTGAAAAAGGCAAAAAGCCTGAGGTTTATCTGTTTGTATCGTTGTACCTGAGGCCTGCCTTCATTAGAAACGTAAGCACTTACAGAGGCTCAAAAGACCACTGAGCCAGATTCTGATCTCTCTCCATTGATTTTTCACTGCTGTATTACATCTGATTTCAAGGAAATGTCTTCTCATTTACATTCATCTACATAAATTCAGGATCA